CAGGACCCTGACTGCAGCAGGATGTGGATGGGCCTCCTGCAAGAGAACAGGGAGGTCGGCTTTGAGATTCAGAATCAAGTGCACAAAACGGGGAGAGAGAAAGAGGGACCCAAGTGTCCTTACTGGGTAGGAAGGTACTGAGATCTGGGGGCATGAGAAGGAAGCCCAGTGCCTGTGACCCAGGACATGGCCTGCAAATGCCTCCCAGCAGCCCTTCAGTTCTTTGTTATGTTTGTCAGCAAAGCTGATACCAGGAGTCAGCACTTTCTTCTGTATGGTTAATGCACAGGCATCAGGTTTTAATGCAAAAAGCAAATGCACCAGAGTCAAGGCACACCCAGTGAACATTCTAGAGCAGCTGGTCCCGTCTTTCTGAGCTGTGGTGTCCCTTTTAGGAGATGGAGAATCCTGCCCACTTGGCAGAGTCTTATGGGAAGTGCGGCCATGTCGCAAGGCACGGGGTAGACCACCGGCAATCAGAGAAGCTGTTCTTTCACCCACAAGGGGAAGTTTTAGAGGGACCCTAAATCCAGACGTAAAAATGAAAACCACGCCTGCGGAGCCTATGAGCAGTGCCCCAGCTCGCCGGCCCCAAGAACAGGATCAATGACGGTCACACAGCCAATGAGGCCAGAGGGTTCCCTGGGAACACACGTGTCTTCTTTACCCACAAGTTACTGAGAGAGATGCCCTCGCTCTACCTGTGGACAGCGTGGGGTGAGGACGTGCCGTCTGCAGCTGCTACCATTTTGTTACCATCACTGGGAGCCCCAGCTCTGCAGGCTTCCTGGGTCACGGGCAGGATCCTCATGCCACCGGAAGCTCTTAATGCCTACACAAAGGCAGTGCCAGTGGGACTGGCAAGTGACAATGTCCGTGCAGTCTGAGAGCTCAGAGACTAAAGAGTCCCACTTTCCTTCCCTGGACAAGGGCACCAGAGAAGACGGGGAAAGGGACTCGCCCAGGGCCCCCCATTGTTAACGGTGGGGCGGACCCTAGGACTAGTCAACACTTGTGAATTACAGCCAAGCGCCCTTCCTGCAGTGTCCAAACTGTGGCTGTCTATGCAAACAATGCCCTGCCGAGAAGCTGGTCTCACTGGAAGATTCGTGCATTTTCTAGGCCCAAAGCTTTCTGCTCCTTGCACATCTCTGGCCTCATGCGGGAGGCGGATGACCCAAGCTGCCCTGCTCTCTGCACATCACCATCCAAGCACAGCTGCACATTCACATCTTTCTGGCCTGATGCCCTTCTAGTCCCTGCCAGTTATGTCACTGTGGGAACCCCTCACAACACCCCGTCCTTTGCCTGCCCTTCCTGATGGGGCTGTATCCATCACGCTTTCTTCAAATGACCCCCTGAAGCCTGCCGGGTGAGCTCCCTTCTCTGTGTGGTCACATACCTCTGTTTATACTGCGATTACAAGTCTTTCCATCCCAATGACAGCAACCCAGACCTCTCTCTCACCTACACATGGGATCAGGAGAGCAGAGACTGGAAGCTTTCATCTTCCCCAGGTACCCAGGGCACCTGGCACAGGCTGGCGCTTGACAAGGACTGAAGAATGGAAGTGACCAAGCACCCACTTTGTGCAAAGCTGATGGGGATGTTAAGGTGTGCAAGTCAAGGTCCATCTCCTCACGTGATGGATTTCTGGATGAGAAAACATAACTAAGGGAAAGAGTCAGAAGTTCTGGGTCTCGGAAAACAGACATTTCCACCTTCCTGATCCCTGGGGCGTGTTATTTTGAGGGGGGAACCACAGCACCCCACGTCTTTGAGCCTCAAGTCCCCCCAACCTTTGGAACAAGTAGATCCCCTCCAGTGCTGCGAGCTGTCACACTGACCCTGCTTTGTCAGCAGTGAAACACCATAAACGTTCTATGTTATAGGATGCTGCAAGTATCGGGGAGACCACAATGGCCTTGATGGGCTTCATTTTAGCTTAAAATGTCATACATTTTAGCTTCTGGTCCACGGGGCATCTCCCAGGCCACCAGAAACATAGGTTGACGAAATGGAAATGGGATTGGCTCTCAGTGCAGGATCTTATTTTAAGGACATATTTTGACATAAACGTCAACAACCCTTTCTCTCCTCCCAGTACTTTTGCACAGAAACTGTTGGTCATACTTGAAGATTTCACATTTTTGCACACAAATGTTCAAGTTTACGTTTATCTCTTTAAGTTTCATTTTCACACTCAGCCAAAGCTTGACCATTTGAGCTACCTGGTGGGCGTCACATCTCCAAACCCCTGGAGCTTAGCATCATACCTGGAACGTGCACGGGGCTGGGAGGGTCCCTCCAGCCACTGAGACCCTTGGACCAATGCATCCCTCTCCTACCTGTGTCACGCCCCACCGGCCCCATGCACAGGCTCTCCATGACCTTTGAACTCACCCTAAAGCCACCAGGCACCCTATAAACAAGGGAAATCCCCCGGAACATGTGTCATGGTCACGCCACGTTAGTACGTGGTAGGCACACACTTCTGGTGCTCGAGGAATCTGGGGAGATGCAGGTTAAATCAACAGCTGTCCCTCGTGTGGGTTCCTCGGGGCTTTCTCTGTGCTCTTGGGCACCCAGAGCGTCCCAGGGGTAAGGGTACAGAGAGGGACACGGCATGCTGTGTTTAGTAAATCCACTGAAACACACAGATTGTCTGAGTGCATCTTTGAGGACAAGTGTTCCTCAGGACACACGCTTGGGGAAAGCTGCCCAGAGCTCCCTTGAATCCCTGCGGTTCTAAGTCCCAGTTCAGAAGCGAGATGGAGAGGATCTGAGCCTCCACGTGGCAACTCCTTCACACGTCCTTCCTGAACCTTAGGGTAAACTCCGTTCAGCTCCATTATACAGATAAGGCACACAAGGGAAGCTGAGGTCAGAAACAGCCTGCGTTTCAGTGCCCTGACGCCTGACCCCAATCACTAGGCTTTCCTCTCGAGCCCCTTCCTCCTTGAGGTCAATCTACCTCAGACCTAAAGCCCATAATTCTCTAGTAGCGTTTTATTCGAAGAGTGCCCCCTTTCAGCTTTGCACAGTTTTCTCTCTTCACTCTTTCCTACCTTCCCAGGTCTGTCCCCAGGAAGAAGACAGTGGCAGTTCTGCTGGCTGGGGGGCCCTGAGGCCTGCACAGAGGGGACAGCACGTGACGGAAGCCCTAGGGGACATGGGCGCCTTCCCCCAGTCTGCGACACGCAGGTGTTTCCTGTGCTTCACGGTGCAGGGAGCTGCGGACACAAGTAAGCCTGCCTCAACATCTTAATTTTTAATAAATGGCTGTGAGAAAACAATCACAGCTGTCACCTGTTTCTCAGTGCTCCCAGCAAACCCCTCTTTGAGAAAACAATGTTATTTTCCTCTATTCACAGTCAATGACTTAAATTAAATGTTTGATCTGAATTAGACTTGCCTATTTATTTTCACTACTATGCTCTAGAAATAGAAAACTAAAACAACAATGACAACAAATGAAAGGCTGGGTAAAACCATGCCAGGGTGAATGGGCGACCTCACGGTGGAAGAAAAGAAGTCGTGGGTCCATGAGGCCCTCCCCACACGACGCAGGCAGGGGACACGAGTGGCAGCAAGCTCGCCTACAGGCACATCTGCAGAGGGGAATCAAGCCAATTGGTTGAGATTGCGGAAAACTCCCCTTCAGGCAAGAGGGAGGCAATTCTTGCATAAAGAGAACTCTTTAATCCATCCCCACGCTGGACCATCTCATCCTCCAGAAATGAAAACGAGTCCAATTCTCTGTGTTCATTGGCTGCACGTCCGTCTTTCCACCCACCTCCCCCCAGGGCTCTCTCCCTCCCAACCTTCCCCAGCTTAGAAAAAGCCCAAAGCAACTTCCGGTGGTCCAGGTTGAAGTTACTTTCCTGGGGCTTTAATGAGGCACATTTCTCGGCTGCTAAGCGCACGGCTGAGGCTGACTCTGTGCGGTTCAACGCAGCTGCCTCTCCCGATTATCTATCATGGGCCCCGCTGCAAACCAGGCATTTGGGGGCAGAGCTGTGCCCTCAGGAAGCCAGCGTCTAACATAAAGGGAAGTCAGGACCCAGACTTAAACGACTGAAAGCTCCGTCTCATCTGTAAAACGCTGATGATGCTACTGAATGCACACACGTCCCAAACAGACAAGGTCTGTAAGACAGAGACAAACAGAATAAGGTCTGTAAAACAGGGGCAGGGAGAAAGAAGTCTCTGAAAATCAGGAGGAGGCTGTCGGGGACAGAACCCAATCCAGACATCTGAACCATACATGGGAAGGCCGTCCCTATAGTCCATTTATAACAGTAGTCAAATTCAGAAACTTTTTTAGTTTTTCACAGTTTAAAGGAAAATTGTTTTTTCCGGGCTTTTTTTTTTTTTTTGTATTTCTTGAATGGGAAGAAAAACCAAGCAAAATTAAATGAGACAAACTGGAAACAAACCCTACACCCTCATTTTTCTCTTCTGATAGGTAAAATGCTGGGTCTGAGAGAGGCCTGATGGGAACAGAAGCCCCTACAGGCATTAAGAGCGGGCCATTTGGCCCACGGTGACGCTGGCTGCATCTTCAGGAAATTCAAATGTGATTTCAGGATGCAGCCTCTCCAGCTTAGCGCTAAAGCGGTGACGGCTGGCACGGAGAGCTGGCTATTCTACCGCACACACTCACCAGGCCAGCACCCCTGCAATCTCAGGCATGTCACTGTGCAATTAAATTTAAAGGGGGCTGTGGTGAAGCTTTGCCTTTCCAGAAAGGAGCGCACACGCCATGCTCAGGGTTTCTCAACTGCGTTCCCAGCTCCTAAGATTCTGTTTAACTGATTACTTTTGCACCACGAGCGCCTGCAATCGAACCTGCTTGGGGAGCCTGACTGATTTGGAGGAGAATCCCTCCAATAACTGGGTAAAAGTGAGGGCAAAGGGCTGCATGGTATCTCCAAAAACAAAAGTGAAAAAGGCTCAGCCTGAAATTCTTTTAAACTGGCGTTTTCTGCAAGACCCACCAGGGTACAGAAGATGCATTGGCACTGGGCAATGGTCGTCATCTTCTCCACTGGGTACTCCCCGAGACACAGCTTGCAGGACACCAGCGGGTCCAGGGCCAGGTCCCAGGTGGGCCGGCACCGTGCTGTGGTCATGGTAGAGCAGTCTGAAACGAGAGAAGCACAGGCCATCAGACACTTGTGGCCTCCACCAGAACCGAGGCAGGGGTCACTCCTGGCTGAAACTGGGGCTCTGGGGGGTGGCCAAGTGAACACTGAGGGGCCCGGGGTTTTAGAGTCCTCGTCTGGGGCCTCTGAGAAGTTTTAGCCAGAGGTCCCCGATCTGAGTCTGTCGGTGATTCCCTTCCCGTATTGATGTTAATATTCAAAACGGCGAGTGATCTACCCATCGGCATCCTTCCCTCCACCCCTCCGATGGGTACTAAGGAAGACACTGTCCACTAAACGAAGCACCCAGCTCAGGAGGGCAGAACCTTAGCAACCCGGCAAAGGACGCTTTTGTTAAAATAGTTACTGATCAGATCAAAGTGTTCTCCAGTCTATGCTGTAGGGATATCCCAGGGAAACCAGTTGGTGGAGTTCTGGCCTCTCTGTGCCCTCCCAGTAGAATGGTCCTTCCACACTGGTTTCTGTCCTCACCGCCCAGGTGTCACCTGACCTTCCAGAAGCAGCTCAAGCACCACTGCCTCCGAAGTCCTGGAAGACCGTCTAAAATGTAAGTTTCAGAGAGGCAAGGCCCTTTGGCAGATTTGTTCATTTATGTGGGTCAAGCGCATCCAACAGTGCCCGGTATGTGACAGACACCTCACAATCATCCATGGAACAATCCTCACTTCCCCACCCTCCCCAACATTCTCTGTGCACATCCACCCCTGGTCTGTGTTCCCCTGATAACAGGCATCTTCCTATTGCTATGTTACACACCGATTTCCACTGCTTACTGCTCGAGGGAAACAGAGAAGGTGTGAGTGTCCAGCTCTTAGCTCGGCTCTGACCCACGGTGGCCTCAATAATTTCCTGTTGGTTGACTGAATTCTTGCATCCAGGGAAATGGCTCCTTGCTCCTAGCATACCCCCTGCGACTTGATTTAAGCCTTACAACACTTATTTTGCACCTGTGGTGGGTAAATATGTGCTTTATTCTACCAGCACCCCCTTGCCCCCCAAACTCAGAACTGAGAAAGATTCAGTTAAAATTTCAGATAAAATCCACGGCTATCCAAACTCTATCTGCTATCCAAATCTCAGGACCTAAATTGATTTAGAGAATTTGGTATCCTTCCCTACTGAACCCCTAACCTCACTCTCTAAACTGAGGCATGAAAAGATTTGGATAGCAAGACACACCTACATTCTCCCCGAGTTTGTGAGGCCATGAAAAGAGGGTTTGTCTCGTTCAACTCCACACGTACAGCAGAAGACTGTACGCATAACGACAAAGGTACACACATGAAGGGAAAGAAAACAAGACAAAGCAACACCAACCAACGCCCAGAACGTACACAAAACGGCTCTCGGATCCTGGAAAGTCTCAAAGATGTGTGAGACAGAGTTCCCCACCTTAGGGTCTTCGGATTCAACTCAGGAACATCCTTTGCCAAATAAAAAGCTAATTGATAACACAAGGCAGAGTGTAGGATTATGTGTGAAATCAGTGCTCAAGGCACTCGGGAAAACTGGAAATCAGCCTGGGCTAGAATCTTCCGAATAGAACTTCGCAGGGGAGATAAGGCTTGAGTTTTAAGGGGAGGTTACATTTCATACAGGTGAAAAGGGGGTGGATGTCAAAATAAGAGAGAGAAGAATCCCAGCATCTTTCACCAGGCAACAGGGTGTGGAGGCAGCACCACAGGGGCAGAAGGAACTCTGCTCCTCCAGGGCAAACAGAACACCCCTATCTGGTGGGGTGCTGGCTTACTTGACCACTGTCAGTCTCAGTCTGCTCATGTGTGTGATGGGGCCACAACCTCCCCCTCCCAGGGCTGGTGCAGGATTAGCAGAGATCATATGAAGGACCTGACACACATGGCAATGCTCAGTAAACCCTCGTCCCTTCCCCTGGGATGCCTCATTTGGCCACAGTTTATCCACCTGTGAGAAGGCCTCTGCTGATACCAACCAGGGGCTGGGTGTGCAAGTTATTTCTGGGGTCAGGGAGCTGTCATGATACTTTTTTTTAGAAAAAAATTATATCCACTTCTCGTGTTTTGACAGTCACAGCTCACCGGGTATCACTAAGCAAATATTTACTTAGGACGAACCACTGTGGGTTCTACGCAGGGCGCTGGGGGCGGGGAAGGCACGTGTGAGCTGGGGAAGAGACTCTGCGATGGTCTTGGGAACGCACAGAGGAGGTAAGACACAGTGACACACGACCCAGGCGCATGAGTGATGTCAGGGTGGCAGAGCAGCGGAGGAGACCCTGACCTATAAGAGCTCAAGCAAGTGAGGGGCGTTACTAAATTCCGGCGGGAATCAGCATTGGGAGTGAGGGCGGGAAATCCGAGGTCGGGGCAGGGAATGGACAGCAGCCTCCTCCCAGGACAGTTAGTATCTGTGGGCGACTTAGTCTAAAGTAAGTGCACTTTCCATTGTTAGAAAAGAACTCTGACACAAATTCAAGTAATTTGGGGGTGGGTTGGAGCCTTCCGGCTAATTTAAACAAACATGATCATTTGACCTTAATCCAAGGGCACCAGAACACTTAGGTGATTTGGGGGTCACTCAGCGATCTGGGGGTGCAGAGTGTACCAGAATCAAGGCTCCTCATGTCCCTGAGTTCGTTTTCATTTGGAACATCTCCCTGCATCTTGAATTTATGCTTATTATGGTTATTTTAAATGTCCAGTGTTGCCTGGATCCTGGGCTCAGGTGCCAAGACTTTTTTCTGTATGTTTCTCCGCACCTTTTTCTGTTTTAATCCTTAATATCTCTTAAAGCTCACAGTACAGAGTGTCAACTGTGTTTTGATTAAGACTGTTAGCTAAGCCCTATCAGGGATCACAAAGCTTTACTGGAAGCATTGAGAAAACTGCCTAAGACTGGAAATGTCCCCAAGAGGACAGAGGTTGCTTAACTGGCTTCTCTGTCCTGGAGAGCTGGGGAAAGGCTGCAGTGGACACTGTCCAAAAGGTCTGGGGTCCAGATTCTATAGGGCACTGAGCAGCAGATGACATGTCACCCAGCAGACCTGGGTCCAAATTCCTGTCCTGCCACTTGGTCATGTGATTTTGGAGAAATTACTCAACCTCGAGGAACTTTAGTGTTTTTCTCTCTGTAAAACTTACACACCATCACCTCCCAGGTACACTTGTGAAGAGTGAGTGAGAAAGAATACGTTTAAAATTCCTGGTAAGTAAAGGTCATTAGGCTCTGTCGGGTTCAAGAGCTTGGACATTAACCCATATGAACCAAGGGGAGGAGAAAAACTGAGAGATGGTAAGATGCACTTAGTCTCAGGAAGTTCACGCTGATGGCCGTCATCTTTGGAAGAAGCAAACACCAAAACCTCAGCAGCCTCCTGCTTTATCATGTGCTGTGCAGGTTGCTCCAAGGCTGGACATCACCCCAAATGGCAGAAATCAGGGACTTAACCCTTTGACATAGTCCTTGAAGCCCACGGCCCTGACCCCACTCACTGCCTTTCACCCTGGACCACTGGTCCCATCCTGGCTGGTTCCTCCCCAGACAATTCTCTCTCCCCCAGCTTCTGAGCTTGGCTCCTTTCTTGTTTATAATGACCCTCAGTTCAACTTGCAAGGCTTGATCTCTCACTTCCTTTCTTCCTGGACCATGATTTCCACTTGACCTGAGACAGTGTGGCCTCCACTGCCCTGGGCACAGGTTAGCCGTAGCCTCTCACCTCCCAGCCCCATGATTCAGCCTTGAAGCATGTCAGACACGGTCTCCTGGCATCTTGTCAGTATTCTTTCCTACAGAGTAGACACTCTCTAAGGTGAGCTCACAATCATGATTCAATGGAAACAACAACTGGACATATTTTACCAAAAAAAAAAAAAAAAAAAAGGATACATTGTCTAAGCCCATCACGACCTTCCCGACACACAGGATGGGCCGAATATGATTTTGCAAACATTGAACAGCTGCAAACTTGAAACAGGAATTTGCAAAGAAAATCACAATGCACAATAAGAGAAAAAAAAGTGTTTGTTTTCCTAATGTGAATGTCAAGTAGAATGAAACAACAAACTATTTTAAGAACATCTGGTCAATTATAAGCATTATTCAACCTAAGCAACTCAAAATGTTTATAAGGCAAGTTACTTATTAAGCACGACTGGGTTATGCAGGGGGTGCATTGTGATGAGAGGTATACAAGGATGAGAAAGAGCTAGAAGGGAAAAGAACCCATTGAGGGAGATAGTCTTAAAAGTACGATGTGGTTATTTGGCCAGGACCATCGCACCTGGGCTCTGGGGCTGTGGATTCTGCAGGTCCCTATTCACCCACTGTCACCCCTTCAAGGCAAAGTAGGGGAAGGGAAAATCAAATTGGTGTCAGCCAATCACTACCCAACTTTTACTCTCAGGACTGCCCTAAAGCCGGCAGAGGCATGTTGGTGGTTCTTCCCCAGCCGAGGGGGCAGGGGGAGTCACAGCCATCTGAGTTTTCACTAGCCTTTCAGGGAATTCCTATCTGCAGTGAAGTCTAAGAACCACTGGGCTACATGATTCCACAGGATAGCATCTCCCCCGAGGACCCTCCCACCCTGAAGCCCATAGGGGCTTAAGCCCAACACATGATCACCTCTCAAAAATGCTACACTGCGCAGCCTGTGTCTGCCAGGCACGGGGTTAGACTCTGCATATTAGCCTCCTGTATTCTTTGCCATGACTCCCTCCGGGGAAGCGTGGCCTTTCCACATCTGCCACGTGTGTTAGTTTGTCCCCCAAATTGAAAAGCAGTGCTTTCTACCCTGCTGGACAGTGCTGGTCACAGGCAGACAGCCCATTACATACACATATATGTGCATCAGGCATTATGTGAACCAATTTTATACATTATTTCATGTATCCGCACAGTGACTTTGAGGCTCTAGTAGTTGTTATTATTCCAGTTTCAACAATGAGGAAAGCAAGACACAGAGAAGGCACGTAACCAGCCTGCGAGACCTCCTTTGTATATC